AGGAAGGCCTTCAAGAGGGTGGAGCCACTGTCAAGGGTGAAATTCCAAGGGAAAGAGCTGAGTAAGGCACAGGAGGACTGGCTGGCCTGATCTCTGAGATCAAGAACTTTGTGCTGTCCCTGTGACTGAAGGAAAGAACAGGCGCAGATCAGTGTTTTCCACATTCATTGGAACCAACCCTTGTAGTTTATACATGTATGCCCTTCATGATCGCTCCCTCATCATGCCGGGAACGGAACCTGGTGTCTTCTGCATGCTAGGCAAATACTCTAGGGCTGAGCTACGGCCATTTTTTCTGTTGCTGACTAGGTCCAAGTCATACTCAGCTCTCTTGATCTTTTCATACAACCTAATACTTTCTACCATGTCACCAGGGCTTCCAAGGTCTCTCTGTCTCTCTCTGAGTCTCTGTCTCTCTGTATTTCTCACTGAGTCTCTCTCCCCCCCCCTCCCCCTCTTCCTTATGTGACAGTCATTTTCTTCATGTATCGTCTCCCATTCAGCTGGTTATGATGTCATGCTTAGTACATAAAACTATGCTTTTCCTTCATCTCGATCTTATATTTCAAAGTAAAATCTAGTCTTACCCTATAATGGTCTTTCCTTGTGCCAAATTTCCCAGGCAATGTATATGGGTACAACATGAAACCGACAAACAAGCCTTGGAGTCTGTCAGAATAAAATAGAGACAAGAGCTGGGTTTGAAATACATAAACTGGACACAGTGACACACACCACAAATCCCAGTGCTCAAGAGACAGAGGCAGGAGGATCAGAAGTTAAAGGTCATCCTTGAGTGCACATCGAGTTCAAGGCCTGCCTGGGCTACATGAGAACCTGTCTCAAACAAAAGAGGGTAGGGGAAAAGATGAGGGGAGGGGAGAGAGGAGGGGAGGGGAGGGGAGGGGAGAGAAGGAGGAGAGAGGAAAGGAGAGAAGGAGGAGAGAGGAAGGAGAGAAGGAGGAGAGAGGAAGGAGAGGAGGAGAGAGGGAGAGAAGGAGGAGAGAGGAAGGAGAGAAGGAGGAGAGAGGAAGGAGAGAAGGAGGAGAGAGGAAGGAGAGAAGGAGGAGAGAGGAAGGAGAGAAGGAGGAGAGAGGAAGGAGAGAAGGAGGAGAGAGGAAGGAGAGAAGGAGGAGAGAGGAAGGAGAGGAGGAGAGAGGGAGAGAAGGAGGAGAGAGGAAGGAGAGAAGGAGGAGAGAGGAAGGAGAGAAGGAGGAGAGAGGAAGGAGAGGAGGAGGAGAGAGGAAAGGAGAGAAGGAGGAGAGAGGAAGGAGAGAAGGAGGAGAGAGGAAGGAGAGGAGGAGAGAGGGAGAGAAGGAGGAGAGAGGAAGGAGAGAAGGAGGAGAGAGGAAGGAGAGGAGGAGAGAGGGAGAGAAGGAGGAGAGAGGAAGGAGAGAAGGAGGAGAGAGGAAGGAGAGAAGGAGGAGAGAGGAAGGAGAGAAGGAGGAGAGAGGAAGGAGAGAAGGAGGAGAGAGGAAAGGAGTGGAGGAGAGAGGAAGGAGAGGAGAGAAAAAAGGAGAGAATTGAGTCAATCCTGTTCAAGATTCTCAGCTGTTGAAGTCAGGGCTGGAGAAAGTGATTAGCTTTGGAAATTCCTCCCCCTACTGGTTGCCTGAAGTCCTGTCTGTTTATTTTCCACAAAGCAGCAGGCTTCAGATTGAGCATGACATGTTTTTTCAGAGTTAACAAAGCTTGCTATGAATGAGGACACAAATATAAATCACCCCAAATTCCCATAATCAATAAATTCACAGTAAAGAAAAATATTATTTTATTACTTTTAGTATTACCATATAAAATACTTAAAGTAATGGATAAGTTTTTAATGTTGCTTAGCAACCCCAGGAGGAAGGAGGTGGGGGAGAGGGGTGGAGTCGAAAAGCCTTATACAGCATTTCACCCCAAGTTTAGTTACACAGGAAAAAGATGTCTTCATTACATGTTTTTTTCTACAAGTTAGGACAGAAATCAAATACTTGTTAAATATTTGTAAAAAAAGTTAAAGATTTTATTCAGTGCACTGGGCATCTTATTAAATGTCATTGGTAAGGATTACTCAAATAGAATAAATTTTTAAAACTTTGCTTATCTCACTAAAACTAAGAAGTCTCATAATCAAAGAACATGTATTTTGCTACCCAAATATCTAGAATGTTCTTTTAAGTCCTAGGAAAGCATGGACTCAAACGTGGATTAAAAAATAATTAGCTATTTACCCAGTTGTGGTGGCACATGCCTGTAATCCCAGCATTCTGGAGGCTGAGGCAAGGGCTTGCAAGGGATTAGAAGACTAAGCTACATAGCAAGACCCTATGGAAAATAACATTAAAAATAAACTTGAAAGGAAAAGAAAAATCAAAAGACTGAACATCAACGAAACAAGTCTTTACTCCATTTTGTAGCTTTCATAAGGGTGTTGTCCAGGATGGGAGTCTGATTTGGGTACCCGAACAGCAGGACAGAGAGGGCTGCTTCATACTGAGGCTTTTTTCTTCACTCCTGCTATTCCTGCCTCCCCACTCATAACTCAGAAGGATTGTTTATTTAAACATTCAAATGTCTTCGTGGCTGAAGACACAGCTCAGTGATAAAGAACTTGTCTATTGGGCTGGCAGCGATGGCTCAGTGGGTAAAGGCATTTGCTGCCCAAGCCTGGCAACCTGACTATGATCCCTGAAACCCATGTAAAGTTAGAAAAAGAAACACAGACTCCACAAAGTCGCAGCATAGCATGTGGACTTCCACATACATGCATCACATATACACAATAATTATTATTACAATAAATAAACACAACTATAGAATACAAAGAATTTTCCTAGTATGCATGAGGTACTGTCTCTGGGATCAGAACAAAAACAACGAAATCTTTCTTCTGAATTGATTTTGAAACGAAGTTGTCAGACATAAGCCACTGTAGTTGGAGCTGCCACAGCCTTTTTGCACAGTCTTGGGGCAGACTAGAAAGACAAAGTTAAGGGAACATATAAAACGAAGAAATCCCCTCTGCCCCTCTACCTGAATTGCCATGTCTCTTGCTGACAGAAACAAGAGTTTTGACCTAGATGTCTGGGGACGTCCTTATATAGAAAATGTATAGAGAAAATGATATTCTGTCCATAAAACTAATATTATTAGCTAGCAAACTATACTCAGGGTAAAAAAGAAAAAAACAATTTAACCTCTTTTTTTCTGAAAGGTCAACTAAGGCCACACATATTACACATTACAGGCAAGTATCAATCACTGAGCTATGTCCTTAGCCTTTCTTTCTTTCCTTTTCTTTCTGTGTGTGTGTGTGTGTGTGTGTGTGTGTGTGTGTGTGTGTGTGTGTGGAGAAAGAGAGAGAGAGAGAGAGAGAGAGAGAGAGAGAGAGAGAGAGAGAGACTGCAAGTTGCCAAGGCTGGCCTTGAATTTGTGATCTTCTACCTTGGGTAGTACATACTTGCACTATCAGGCCTGGAATGATCTATGATCTTGTCTTAATTATGTTTCTTTCTCACATGTAAGCCTGATAGTACAGTCATACACTATCTTAAATTTTCACTTGTATATAAATCATTTTTCCATAGAAAATGAATATAGTCACACATTTTTCTCTCAATCTTAGAGATCACATCCTTTAACAAGGTAATGGCAAACTCCCCAAATCACTCACATAGCCAGCTGCTGCAGAAGCTATTACCTGTGCATTCATCTCCTAGTAAACACACTTGTTTCCCATTGCCTAGGTCCTTTCTCCTATAAATAAACTCTAACTCATTACAAAATTCTTTTTATGCGGCATAGTTTAAGAATCTGGGCTGTACCTAAGTAAAGCCCTCCGAGACTCTGAAGAGAGTGCCTCAGGTTGCACAGCTGCTGATGTTGCACAGCTGCTGATGTTGAGCTGTGTTACCTGCTGCTAGTGATGACCTTGATAGGTTTTCAAATGTTTCATGGAAGACGTTCCCTCCAAGCAGATTATTAGTTCCTTAAGGACAAAAGTTAGGCCTTTTCTGTCTCCCAGGGTAACTACACGATTGATTCATTTTCCTAATTAGGGTTTCTATTGCTGTGATGAAACACCATGACCAAAAGCAAGTTGGGGAGGAAAAGGTTTATTTGGCTTACACTTCCACATTGTAGTTCATCACTGCTGGAAGTAAGGACAGGAACTCAAACAGGGAAGGAACCTGGAGGCAGGAGCTGATGAAAATCCCATGGAGAGGTGCTACTTACTGGCTTTCTCTCCATGCCTGCCTTCTTATAGAACCCAGGACCACCAGGCTGGGGGTGGCACCACCCACGATGGGCTGTGCCCTTCCACATCAATTACCATATAAGATAATGCTCTACAGGTTTGCCTACAGCCCAGTCTTATGGAAGTATTTTCTCAGTTGGGATTCACTCCTCTCAAATGCCTCTAGCCTGTATCAAGTTAATCTTAGCCAGCACAATCATCATCGAGTATTCTCACATAGTTGGCTCTTGCAGATTCCTTGGGGATACAAAGGCACACTGCTACCTCTAACAGGCTTATAAATTTAACACAGCAAAGTGTATTAAGATATAAGTATGTGAGGTGTGGCATATAGATGAAAACAAGACGAATCATACACGGACAAGGATGCTAAGCAAGAAAAAAAACGCTGTGTTTGGAGATCTGGGCCCTGTTGGAAATTCTGGTAATTCGGATGCAGTTCCACAAGGAACAACCCCGTCCTAACCCCACAGGATCCTCTGTAGGGGTCTTGGTGATGGAATTCTCAAGAATGAGTGATGTCGAATGCCTCAAAGATGTAGCCTAATTGAGTACGTTCACAGTGTCCTGCGCGTATGCAGTATCACACAGGTTATGTCGCGCCGCGACATGTCATGTTAACGAATATGTCACAGTTGATGATTAACACATACGACAGAGCAGTCAAAAAGGCGTTGCATAACCAGGAACCAACGTACCAGGCCGTGCCACCACCCACCCGGTTCCCCCGCAGACGCGCCGGAGGGGAGGGGTTTCCGCTTCCGGCGGCGGATTGTTGACGCCCGCCGCTGCCGTGGTGGCTCCCGAGCGGTTGCGGAGGGGCTGCCGAGGGAGGGCGACGGCGCAGTGACAGGCAGCGCGGAGGGTGCCTCCGAGGCGACGATGGCAGAGGGGCCCGAGGAAGCCCGGAGCCGCCCTCCCGGACAGGACGGCGGCGGCGGCGGGGACCACGAGCCAGTCCCTTCCGGGCCTGGCTCTCCCTCCGCGGCCGCCCCCCCGGCCCCCGGCCCTGGCGCCCGTCGCCCCGGCCGCCTCGGAGCCGGAGCCGCCGCCGCCGCCGCCGCCGCCAGAGCTCCGGAAGCGCCGGGAGGGGACCGCGGGGCCGCAGGAGCCGGGGGGCTGCGAGGCGTCGGACGGGCCGGGGCGTCTGAGCGCGCGCGAATACTCGCGGCAGGTGCACGAATGGCTCTGGCAGTCCTACTGCGGCTACCTCACCTGGCACAGCGGCCTGGCCGCCCTCCCCGCCTACTGCGGCCCCGCGCCCGCCGCCCCGCAGCCCGCAGCCCCGCCGCCGCCCCCGCCCCCGCCCCCCGCCGCCGCCGCCGCAGCTCGCCTACTACAATCCCTTCTACTTCCTGAGCGCCGCGGGGCCCGGGCCCGGGCCGGGGCCGGGGCCGGGGGCGGCCCCTGGCGGCGCCACCCCGACCGCCGTCGCGGGCCTGACACCCCGGGCCCCGCACGTGCAGGCATCCGGCCGGGCGGCCCCCGTGACCAGGGTAGTAGGCTCTGCGGCCCCTGCACGGACGGCGAGCGACGCCGGGCGGCAGGCGGGTGAGAACGGGGGTTGGGTGAGTGGGTGGGTGAGATCTAGGAGGGGCGGAGTAGAGGGTTATATTCGTTTTGAGGTTTAGACTGGGATTCATACGGCCCTTGTTGACCTCGAACTCATGATCCTCCTGCCCCCACTTCCCGTGTGTTAGGGTTACGGGTGGCTCACGGTCCTTTTTAAAATGACTGCTGCTCCTCCTACTATTTTGGAAGAATTTCACCCTGTAGTCTAGGCTAACCTTAACTCACTATGTAGCCAGGTTAGCCTCGAACTCGCAGTAAGACTTCTGTGTCAGTCCACAGGATCTTACATGCCTTGGCAGAGGAGTCTCTTGAAGGAGTGACCATTGGACAAGTATGCTCCCTCTTGAGATAACTGGGGCTGCTACTACCATTGACAGTTTGCCCAGGCCTTAAATTCCAAAAATGTACTGTGAGGCAATGCCAATTGTTCTTCCCTTAGACCTGGCACTACCAGGATATTCCCTTACTGGTGGCACTAGTCCTTCCCTTGTGTAGAGACCTATGCTTATCAAACCATCCTCTGGGTGATCTCCCTGCTCTGGAAAGAGAGATCCGAAGCTAAACGCAGGTGGCAAGCCCCGCTATTGGAGGAACGAGACTAGAATACTAGCAATCACCTGGACTTGGGCTGTGTAAGGACAGTGGAACTGCAAGGAGATTGACCTGAATACAAATAATGAACTTCGACTGGGCCCACACTTATTGATCTTGAATATTGTCTAATTGATTCTGTGTAGTAACTAGAATTTCACTCTAGCAAAACTTGCAGTCGTTCTCCTGCCTCCAGGTCCAGAGTGCTAGGAATACTGATATTGGTCAGCATTAGATATTTCAGTCACTTGTTATTTTGGTGGAATCATTGCCATTGGCTGCTGCAATGCTATAATTTTTTTTTTAATTAAGTTGGACCTTGACTTTACCTTGCCCCTCCATTATTTGGCTTGTTTTCTTAAGCCTGTGTGAGTGATTCATTTTCCTTTCTCTCCCCCCCCCCCCCACCAATTTACAGGCAGAGAGTATGTCATTCCATCCTTGGCGCACAGATTTATGGCAGAGATGGTGGATTTCTTTATTCTCTTCTTTATAAAAGCAACCATTGTCTTGAGCATCATGCATCTCAGTGGGATAAAGTAAGTTAAAGATGGTCACAGAAGAGTCTGGAGCTGTTACTTAGAGATCTTGTTTTGTAAAATCTGTCCATGCCCGTGAGTGACTCTGGGTGATGGGTGCCCAGGGCCAGGTTTTCTTTTTTTTTTTTTTTTTTACTTTTAAAAGCTGTTTATGTGTTTATGTGTGTACTTACGAAGACCAGGAGGTCCACTTTGGGTGTCTTCTGCTCTCTAGTGTATTTTTTTTAGGTAGGATCTCTCACTTAACCAGGGGCTTGTCATTTCATCTAGACTGGCTGGCCATCAAGTCCCCAGGATCCACCCGTCTCTATGCTCCCCCCACCCCCATGCTACACCTTGGTATATGGGCTTTTAGATGGATTCTGGGGACCAACCAGCTCAGGTCCTGACATTTGTACAAGCACTTTACTCACTGAGCGGTCACCACAGGCCCCTTGTTGGCTCAAGAAACAAAGGAGGAAACCTTAATATGTTAAAATCTGTGGGAAATTCTCCTATTGAAAATAAATAAAGAGTGAGGCTTTGGTGGCACATACCTTTAATCCCAGCACGCAGGAGGCAGAGGCAGGCAAATCTCTGAGTTCAAGGCCAGCCAGAGCTACAGTTAGATCCTATCTCAAAAAAATTTTAATAGGTAAAAGGAGTCTCCAGACCTGGCTTGTTTCTGTTAACCATTCTCGTGAGCCAGGAACTTATTGGTTTCCTTATTGGCCTATTCAATCTCTAACATGAAAGCACATCTGCTGCTTGTCCAGAGGTTCCAAGTTCAGTTCCCATGTCAGGCAGCTCATGCTCATAACTACCTATAACTCCAGCTCCAGGGATCCAACCCCCTCTTCTGCACACACAGCATACATTTGTACACACACACACAATTTCTTTCCAAAGCACAGAGAGCCTGTGGTAGGTGAACTCTAAATAATCAATTAGTGGCCTTTCAGTGAGGTTGCTCACAGCTGAGCAGATTTCACTCCACTGCCAAGTATGGCATTTACTTGAAAATGAACTCCAAGTCTTTGGAGAATGGCTGCTATCATTTACTAAGCATTATCTATGTGCAAGACATTGAATTTGACTTTTTTGTTAACTTTAAGGTAGAAATTAATTAGGTTTATGAGAAGTTAAGGCCAGAATTGAGAGGGAAAAAAAGTTAAGATACAAACTGTTGTTAATTAAACCTTAGGGCCCTTGTCAGGTGTTACTGCAATTCCTTCCTATCCTACCTCCCCACTACCCACCAACACAGCCTTTTTTTTTTTTTTTTTTAAGATTTATTTATTACATATACAGTGTTCTGCCTGCATGTATCCCTGCAGGCCAGAAGAGGGCACCAGATGTCATTACAGATGGCTGTGAGCCACTATGTGGTTGCTGGGAATTAAACTCAGGACCTTTGGAAGAGGAGCCAGTGCTCTTAACCCCTGAGCCATCTCTCCAGCCCGACACACAGCCTTTATTTTTATTTTACATTTTTCTTTATTTGGAGGTCAGAAGACAGTTTGTAGAACTTGACCTCTCCAGCCTTAACTCTGCTGTAGTTTCTTTTGACAAGTCTGAATTTCATTACGTGGTTCAGCAGGTGCCCACGGTCTTACTCACAGTCCACACACGAGAGAAATTGGAGCCCTACCACTTGCTTCAGGGCTCTCTCTCCTGCCAGTCTTTCTCTAGAGCTTCTCCCATTCTCTTGGTCTGGCTGCTTCTCTTCATTCTTTGTGTTGTAGGACATGTCATTTCTAAGAAGCCTGCATAAAAATCAGTATAACTGGTTGTTTTCCGTGGTGGTCTGGTTTCCTGACACAGTTGGCATCCCTGTTTATTATTGTTCTTTATTGTTCTGTTTTCCTTGCTAGAATCTCAGTGAAAGCTGAGACATTTAATATTCCCTTGCTGTCCTAGTCTGCCTTCTGTTGCAATGTTAAAGACCATGATCAAAAACTTTGGAAGAAAGGGTGTATTTCATCTCACAGCTTGTAGTCTCATTGAGGGAAGTCAGGGCAGGAACTGAAGAAGAAGCCATGGAGGAATGCTGTCTACTGGCTTGCTCAGCCTGCTTTCTTATAGCATCCAGGACCACCTGCCCAGAGGTGGTACCACCCACAGTGTGCTGGGCCCTTCCCCACATCAATCACTAATCAAGAAGATACCTCACAGACTTGCCTAAAGGCCAATCTGATGGAGGCATTTTCTCAATTGAGGTTCCCTCTTCCCAGGTGACTGTATCCTTTCGAGTTGACAAAACCATTGACCATGTCCTCAGAGCTGGAGTCTTACTTGTTCTACCACTGAGTTTACAAACACACCAACAAACATAACCGCACCTTTTGCTTTTATTTACCTATTGCTATTTGTTGAATAAACTCATGGGTATTTTGTGCAGTTAGATGGTGAGAACCTAACAGTTAGCTTAGAATTTCAGGTAAAATTTACGACTTACACTAATCAGGGAAAAAGGTACAGTGACCTAGTAACTAGTTCTGTGTAACCCCAAACTCTTCTTTTTGTGCAGGGACATCTCTAAGTTTGCCATGCACTACATAATAGAAGAAATCGATGAAGACACATCCATGGAAGACTTGCAGAAAATGATGATTGTGGCACTTATATACAGGTTGTTAGTTTGTTTCTATGAGGTAAGCTGCTGCCTGAAGCAAATACTGCTTTAATAGTGTGATTGTTGCTTTCTAACCAGAAAAAGAATGAGAATTTCTCAGGCATCTTCACATTTGTATTTTTTCACAATTTTTAAAATTAACATTTTCAAGTTAAAAAAAAAACTATTAAATTTTTTGAAAGGAGACATTTAATAATTGCTTTGTTTTGCTTTTCAGTTTTAGAAATGAAATTATGTTTATAAGTAGGTTTTGGTCCAAAAATATACTTACAGATTGGTTGTAGAAATAATGTATTTTTATCTGTGAAACTTCATAAAATGAGCCAAAAAATATGCAGTAGATAATTTTTGATATTGAATATATTAAAAGGCTATAAAATGCATTAGTGGTTAATCTAGAGGGGTGGGTACTGGAGATCAAACCCAGAACCCTATACATGCTAGGTAAGCAAGTCCATTGAGCTATATTTCAAGGCTCTTTTCTTTTTGAGTCTCAGTGAGTTCTGAGGGCAGATCCTGAATGCAGTTTGACTTTTTGCATATCAGCCTACCCAGTAGTTGGGATGACAGGCCTTGCTTGTGACACCAGGTCCAGCCTTTAGTTAGTGTTTAGTTTGCCAAGACAGGGCCTTATTATGTAGGCTGGCTTGGTCCCAAACTTGCCAGTCATCTTTCACCAGCCTCTGGAGTTCTGGGATGGCAGGCATGTGCTACCAGCCTGTTTAAATTGTTAGGTTTCTAGTAGTCTATACAATTGGCACATCCAGTATAACTTTCTTTTTGAGAGAGGGTCTCAACTCCTAGCCCTGTCTGCCTTTAACTCACTGTGCATACCAGGCTGACTTTGAACTTACAGAGATCCCATCTGCCTCTACCCCCCAAGTGCTGGGACTAAAGGTGCTGCTACCACACTTGGCCTTTCAACATGATGGTTTATAAAGAATGAAATGATTTAATAGAAAAAAAAATTGTAAATCTTTAAAATTGGTTTAGTGAATTATTTTTAAATTGTCCTTCTTTCCTTAGATAATTTGCATTTGGGGAGCGGGGGGAGCTACACCAGGAAAGTTCCTGCTAGGTCTTCGAGTTGTGACATGTGATACATCGGTACTCATTGCTCCAAGTCGGGTTTTAGTGATTCCTTCCTCAAATGTTAGCATCACAACGTAAGTCCTTTGCTTATCTTAATCTACTTGCAAAAAGAATATAGAGTTAAGTTATCTTCTACTGTATAGTGATGTCAGTCAACTGGTCATGGCACACTCAGCAGTGCAGAGGAGGCTGCTGCATGTTGACTTCAAGGTGTTTGAAGTGTGTGACTGCACCAAGTTTTGCATTCTCAAGATCATTCCTACATTCCTCAGAATTCAGAATGAGTCCCTCGTTAAGCGGCACAAGATTGTATTCAATACCCCATTACAGGTTCTTCATAGTATACACTGTGATCATATGGAAGTTTGTGTCTCATTGCCTTTGGCATACATGTTCAAAATAATTTTATGAAATGTGTGGCAATGGTAAGATATTTGGGTGTTCTTAGTGCTCTGTGCCTACTAGCTTTATTCTCTGGCTCTGTGAACTACCCACTACAACCCTATCCTGACTTCAGTTCTTACCTGTAAAGCACATAATGCCTGTAGTCTTCGTTGCTGGCCTTTGGCATGCAGCGCCATTCAGCGTGCAGTGGTGATGGAAGTGTGTGCTGGTAGCACAAACAAAATTTGGCTAGAAATGCTGCAGGAATTGTGATTCAGGGGAAACACAAGGCTCCAGAAGCAGGCTAGATTTTACTGGCATTTGCACATTTCCTTACAACTTTGTTTTAATTCTGGGTGTTTTTTTTTTTTGTTGTTTTTTTTTTTTTTTTTTTTTTTTTTTTTTGGTGTTTCAAGGGGGTTTGTGTAGCCCTACTGTCCTAGAACTCACTCTATAGACCAAGCTGGTCTCAAACTCAGAGATCTCTGTTCCCGAGTACTGGGACTACAGGCATGCACCACCACTACCCAGCTCTGGCTACTTCTTTTAATGAGCCAATAATGGTTAGGGTTTATTGAGCGCTTCTCAGATACCATGCATTTTAGTAATTTAACATAGCATTTTGATCTCATTTTCAGTTGTGGAACACTAGTAATTAGAAAACGAATGTGAAACCAGCCAGCTTGGATTCAGAGTCGGCACATTTAGCCAACAGGCAGAAACTAACATTGTTAGGATAATTCTCTGTTTTGAGCTATTGTTGAAAGCTTTTTGAGAGTACTGGAGCCCATACATGAGAAAATGGATAAAAGAACAGATTGTGTTTCAGATAAAATAGAAAGTAGAACTGCAGTAGCCTACCCAATTCAGAAGAATCTAGAAACCCATGGGAATATATGACTATGGAAAAGGTAAGCAAAGGGAAAATGTCTTTGGACAAAATACAAAGTCCTGTGTGCTGTCTCCTCGTTGATGTTCTGAGATGTTTGTTACCAAAGTTCTAGTCTTGTATGTAGCTTTCTTTAGGACTTGAGCAGGTAGTTCGACTATATTGTTTGAACTGTGCTCTGAATGTTATAGACCTCAACAACATACCCAGTTGGCAATGACTGATACGACCTGACTTGCTACTTCTGTTTGCTTCCTTTAGGTCCACCATACGAGCTTTGATCAAGAATTTTTCCATTGCTTCTTTTTTCCCTGCTTTCATCACACTGCTGTTTTTTCAGCATAATCGAACAGCCTATGACATTGTAGCAGGAACCATTGTGGTAAAAAGAAATGGGGTCAGATGATGCCCCAGAGCCCTGAATTCCACTTTTTGGAATAATGATGACAAGACTAAATTATGTATCAAGGCCATCAGTATCTCTAGGTTACATTAATTGATGTTTTAAAAATTAGAGCAGTCACTACAGTGTGATGCAGGAGACTGTTCTGAAAATGTTGACTGTACTTAAATGTCATGAACCTTTCCAGAAGGAAAACTTATTAAATTCAAGTGTTAAATATTTGTAGGACAACAAAGCAAATGATTTCAATCAATATAGACAAATATATACTTTAACATTTAAGATAAACAAAATTTGCTGGAAGCATTTTCAGCTTTAAATTCTCCGTTTTATTTTGGTTTATCCTAGAGAAATTGAAAAATGTCCAGTTGTGTTTTATAAACACCTACCTAACTCCCACAACTCTTCTTAGGGAAGTTGCTTTGTGTGGGCATTGAGAAAGCATCAATTCAACAAACCACTGGCTGGCTCCATGGCCAAGTGTTGGAGAAAAGGGCTAGTGAGGAAGGCCTATCAGTTCCCTCACCTCATGCTTCCAGGATGTTCTAGAATTCACTGCAGTAGTGGTGGAATTCTGCAGCTTCTTACTACTTATGTATTTGGAGGCAAGAATTTTCACGATGATGAAAATGTATTGAGTCATATCATTGATACTTTAAAAAAAAAAGGTAAGTTAGTGATTGCCTACTGTGGGGGTAGGGTGGGGATGGGAATGTGAACTTTCAATGTAAATTCAGCTTAGAATTCATGTGCCCTAAAAATCAACTATAAATATGTGGGGGAAACATCCATCAAACATTCCCAGTGTGTGCTCTCCAGTGTTATGAATGAATGTACCTGTAGATTCTATTTCTGTACAAGCAAACTCCTAAGGCACTATATTCTATACAGTTCCATGACTGTCAAAACATCAAGGTATTAAGTCTTTAGTATTTTGTGAATAACTCTAAATACTAGTAGCCTGTGAAATATTAGCAATTTCCCCATAATGAATTGTTCTAAAGCAAACTTTTGTGTATGGTCATTGTACTTTGCTCCATTGGTGCAACATTATCGGGTTTATGTCTGTGTGCTTTTGCTGTGTCCCAGTTAGCTAGCTGTACTGAAATGTACCCACACTGTTTATAGTTTAAACTTTATTTCTTACTCATTGTATATGATTTTCCCAAGAAACACTAAATTGTATTGTATAAGAGATCAATCTTTGTTCCTGGGTTTTAAATAGCAAGAATAATCCATGTGTTATTACTGCATCCATTTTCAGTGGACTTTTGACATTTAAAACTGTGAAAATGCATTTAATGTCTACAGACACTTTAAGAATCTAATAGCTTATTGTAAGTTCATAAACCATCGTTTTTCAAAATAATTTTATTTAAATTAAATCCAACTTCACAGAAACCCTATTACTTGTCAAGAGCAGTATGTAGAGCACTTGCTTATGGCTCTGGCAAGATTTTATGGCTCTTTAAACTCTTACACTACAAATCAAGAAGTTGGTATGGACACTACTTTTGCCCCTGGTAAGGGAATTCAAGTTGAAATGTGCTTCACCCATGCAGCTCTGGAGTGCTTGATTATTGTTTCTACCCCAAAGGTTATTATTGTACTTTTCACTGAAGATATTTTTATTTATACAGTAAAATAAACTAGTCCAATTTGTTATAGTTTAGATATTGCAATTTGCTATGGACAAGTCATTAAGATCCAGCTGTGGATTCAAGTTGTGCCATACAGACTGTAAGATAAAAGTATTGCTTTGCCTCTACAATAAAACCTCAATCTGTTATAAGTTCAGCATTTAGGGAAAGAAATATCAAGAGTTGAAATAAGCCAGGCAGTGGTGGTGCACGCCTTTAATCCCAGCACTTGGGAGGCAGAGGCAGGTGGATCTCGGTGAGTTCGAGGCCAGTCTGGTCAACAAAGTAAGTTCCAGGACTGCCAAGGCAACACAGAGAAACCCTGTCTCAAAAAAAAACCAACAGTTGAAATAAAAAAAGAGAACCTGGCACATTTTTTCCTCATAGGGTTGTAAAATGGAGCTTCCTTCACAGAACATGAGTATATTTAACTACAGAAATACTGATTTCCTGTGTCTCGTGCTGAAGCTGTACCCTAAAAGGGCAAAAATGAAGTCAGAAATGAAGATGTTCTTAAATGAGTGTGTGTACCTTGAGCTGGACTGGAGTTTCGTTGCTGCATTCAGTCCAAACAACTGGGAAGAGATTTAGGCAGTGAGAAAGTCTTGGTACCCATCACTGAAAGTGTTCTAGAGTGGCTAGATCTTGTGAGTAGGATAGTCTACCTTCTAGGTAGGTTACAGTGCAATGACAGGCCTTACTTTACTGAGCATTCTCTGTGACCATAAATATATGCCACTTGACAGTATTCTAAAGCATAGCCCAACTCCTTCCCTAGCACTGGCTAATTCTCCCTACAAAGCATTCACCTTCTGATCTCCAAGAAGACATCCTAGTTGAGGGCCACTTTGTGCACACCTCAAAAATGGATCTTCAAAGGATCTGAAAAGTTTTAACTTTAAAAGAACTCGTTCACGCCGGGCGGTGGTGGCGCACGCCTTTAATCCCAGCACTCGGGAGGCAGAGCCAGGTGGATCTCTGTGAGTTCAAGGCCAGCCTGGGCTACCAAGTGAGTTCCAGGAAAGGCGCAAAACTACACAGAGAAACCCTGTCTCGAAAAACCAAAAAAAAAAAAAAAAAAAAAAAAAAAAAAAACGAACTCGTTCACATCAGTGATTTGAGTATTTCACTTACACACTTGACTTTCTGACAAAGTGAAGGAGTTGAAATTTTACATTTGCTACTTGGAGGATGAGGCAATTAAAGTTTCTCATTGTTTCTTTGAGGACAATGCCTAAATTAACAGTATTGCTAAACTCTGACAAGTACTGTTTCAGCTCCTTGCAACTTTCCATTCACATAACCAAAGACCAAAGTTCTTACTCGTGCCTGGGTGAAGTTTCTCATTTCAGCTCGTATATGCAGATTTCCTTGTAGTTCACTATAGTAGAGCTTGCCCTGCAAACAGTATCTAATGACCCACCTATAAATAAAACTCAACATTCTATTTTTAATATTTGTATGTCACCAGTTTGTATTTTGTCTCAATAAATGTCAACAGTGTTATCTGCCTTTGCCTATTTCTTTGACAAGTTTTACTAAGGAAACAGCAACAGCAGTGTATTTAACTAATGGGGCTGATAACACTTGCCTCCAAACACCTATGAAAAATTTTAAAAGTACAGATTAAACTCACGGGTAGGTATTTAGAGCCTTTAGCATTACAACAATCAGATGACTAGATTTAAACTCAGTCTTAATGGGAAAAGCCTTTATAAACTAGTCCTTATGGACAGGCTTTCTTAACTTGATTGTGGACATGTTAACTGTAAACCCAGAACTCAGGAGGCTGACACAGGAGTACTGCTGCAAATTTAATCCCAGGCTGAGCTACAGTGTAAGACCCTATCTTTAGACATTAAAGGGTATATGTACAAACTTTATTTAATGCAGCTAGGTCATAGTGTTGCTCCGGACAATTTACTATTCTGAAAGTTACAAACTATGTATGAGGACTACAGTGGATTTTTGGAGGAATAAAAACAGTGGAAGGGGAGGAACAGCCCCATATTACAAAGAAATAAGGGTTATGACTAAATTCGTCATATAGTTGCTATATAAGATCTTCATCACTTTTCAATGTTAGGAAAGTTTCCAATAAACATACTACCCTTTATAAAATTGTTGAGTGTTGGTTTCCATTGAATTTCAAGCTTTATGCAAGCCCAAAGAAGTTTGTATAACAAGGAAGACAAGTTCCCAGGTTAAATCTTTCCTGTAAAAATGCTAGTTATAAGCCGGGCGGTGGTGGCGCACGCCTTTAATCCCAGCACTCGGGAGGCAGAGCCAGGCGGATCTCTGTGAGTTCGAGGCCAGCCTGGGCTACCAAGTGAGTCCCAGGAAAGGCGCAAAGCTACACAGAGAAACCCTGTCTCGAAAAAAAACCAAAAAAAAAAAAAAAAAAAAGGAACTTTAGTTGTGTAAATTATACTTTTTTCCTTATGGCCTGAAATTACAATCACTATAAACAACCCAGCACTTAAATGCTTAAAGTGACATACCCAGACCTGATGATTGACTATTATCTAAAACCAGTCTGTCAATCTCTGGGGATATGCCCTAAAAATACACTTACACGGCCCACTAATAAGCATTCTCAATCTCAGCCAATCCAATGAAGAAGTTTACCACTGCTGGGCCGGAGGAGGGACAGGCCCAGAAATGGGGCTGCCACCACCACTGGAAAGCTACATGCAATCCAAGAATCAAGTCTCAAGATCTGAACAGTCTGTAAGACTGGAAAATCAAAAAAACCCCAATTTTCATATAAACTAGCCTTAGTAGGACTTTAGTAGTCTGCTTTTTTAAAAAAAAAGGGAGGGGGATACAAAATTATTTCCTACACATTTTAGAGAAGAGTAATGCCCTATTAAACTGCAATTATTTGGACCTAGATAATGGCTAAGAACTGGCCTCCGAGGTCACTGTGAGGTCAGATGAGTTCCAGTTTACCTCTTCCAGCATTCACCACCAGGCTCCAAACAGGTGTCAGGTAAATATTAAAGAGCATATTAGAAAAACAAAAAGCTCTACCCTCAAATCATGTGATGGCCTAAGCTATCTTAGTAAGAAAAACATCTTTTCACAAAGACAAAGCATTAGAAATTCTCAATGTAAATTAACCTGAAGTATGGCAAATTAAGCACAAAGTAACAATAAATGCCCACCCTGAGTACAATGAAGACAGAGGTATGACGTGCTGGCCCAAGAGTTCTTTCCTGGACCTTAAGTGAGCAAAATGTCTAGTCATACAAGCAACACAGTAAAAAACCGTTACAGTTTTGTTTTTTGTTTTCCTGGAGAAGAGGACTGAACCCAGGGCCTTGCGCTTATTAGGCAAGCGCTCTACCACTGAGCTAAATCCCCAACCCTGCACCCCCGCCCCACCCACCCACCCCACCCCCTTACAGTTTTATAAACTTTTGGAAAGCCTGAGGCATATCTCCAAGAAGGTGAGCAACAAACATTGCCTAGATAACCTAGCAGGGAAGCTAGAAGTACAAACAGAAAGGGTTCTATGTTTATTTTCAACTTTTAAAGGGGTGCTACATGTACAACTGAAGTGAAGATAGCAGTAGGCAGAAAGCAGAGGCTCTTCTGTATACTGCAAACTGATCATTCTTGGGCCTTGCCTGATTATACTCTCTGGGATTTCTAATCAACCACTCTTCCCATTTAACACTGTGTGCCTTCACTATGAGAACTGTTAGCAAAACGTGCTTCATAAAGTTTTATTGATGGCATTTATCCCATGGTTTAACATGTTAATTATACGGTAATAAACATGGCTTTAATATTAAACTTTTCCTTATTATCCAAAGTCACCACAGTCCATTTCAGTAAATATAAAAATATATGCTTAATACTTTGTACAATACTGGTTTTTGGTCCAAACAAAACTGGATCAGAAAAGCCAATAAATTCAACTTTAAGAATCCCCAATTTTTTTTTTAAAGATTTCCAAATGGATTTAGGCAACTTTGAATAATGGGATTTACATAATAAAATCTGAGACATGACTAAACAAACAACAAAAATATGTCTAACACAAAATTAAAATTTCAAGTTCACAGATTTATGTTATGCCAAAAAAGTACAGAAACAATATTGTATTTACAGAAGTTTCATAATAAAATAATGAAAAAGGCAAGACAGTCGATAGAATGAAAATATAGAAATAGCATATACTTATTAAATGGAGAATGAACTAGATCTAACAAGTCCTTAGTATAGACCATTCTTTAATCAGGCTTTCTCTATCAGAATTTTCCTGTGCACAATACATCCAACTCACTTCACACATACACCACCACAAACTCCGCATAGAAATCATTCATTTCAAAGTCCTCTAATCTATACAGGATTCTAATCTATACAGAATTCCCCAGATATAATTACAATTTCAATGCGTTCCATTAACGCTTTATCAACACACAGAGCGGTGCAGACAGGATCTATACAAAGCCATTCACCGTGCAGGCTCTATTCCTGGGTACAGCCAGACTATGCCAATCAGTGAATAATGTGCTGGATCATAAAATGTTTCTGCTGAAGAATCAGTCAGTCATCAGTCTAGCTATTATTTTCAAAAGAGAATGGGATATGGGAATGGGACTTCCATAAAGAGAAAAAGAGTACAATTCCAAAATTAAAGAAATCCTTAGACAGATCTGACTTCAGATAAGCCCAGCATGTAGTACAATCCAGTATCTGAAAGCAGGCACCAGCTGTTGATAAAACTGTTGGGTATTAACACCTTTGTGACCTTTATTTCCTGCGTCTAACAGCAGTCTTTATCTTGCGACCAGAAACTGAAGTTCCGGAAGAAGAGAACATATTTTTCCCATTTGACCTGTGAAAAATAAAACATTATAATGTGACATAATGTTCAGGACAAACAGAGGCTCATAACCACTTAACATGGCCAGCAACAAAATGAGGAGGAAAGTAAGGAAAATATTGTTACAAGTAAACACCTTCTGCTATGTTTGGCCTATAACTTGCTGCTCGCCTCACATTATAACTCAACCCTCAAAATTACAGTATCATAAACTGATATTGGGTAATATTTACTTTTACCCAAACTATATTACTGCCTGATTTACTTTTAGAAACAGACACCTTTACCAATGTCAATTCTCAATGAAATAAAAACATCTCTTACCCCACTGTAAATGATGCTGGAGACTGGCTGAATGAAAAGCCCCCTGAACCTGAGGGCTGGGCTGAGGCTGCAGGCGTGCTGGGATTTGCACCAAATGTGAACACTCCTGATGGATTATTGTTTGTGAAGTTGAAATTTGTAGTGCTGCTGCCAAATTGGAAAACAGAACCTATACAAATTAAGCAGAAATATCCCATTAATGACACAAGATTCACTTTGACCTAGACATATTAAACATGTGAAAAATTAAGATCTTAGCAAGGCGTGGTGATGCACGCCTCTAGTCCCAGCACTCAGGATGCAGAAGGGAGAGAATCTCTGATATCAAGGCCAGTCAGGACTGCCACAAAACAGGAGAAATGTTAGGGCACACATGAGCTAAGTACAAATAGAGAATCCAAGATGAACCTTTAGAACCAATAACCAAACAAAACTAAAGGACAAAATACTTAAAAAGAATTCACAAAAAGGGAAACTACACAGAATCCAAATATGAACGAGACTTGTCATCCAACAGCGGCAGCATGTGAACTGGTATACCCCAGCAGTAAGTTTGTAATAAATACCCTTTAAATATGAGGTATACCTTTCTATTCAAAGTGCATCACTAAGAGAAACACGTCTGCTCCCCAAAGATCAATATTCTCCACTCTGTAACATGCAAAACAATATTTCCTAACAGCCAAAACTGACTACCACTCAACAGCAAATGGATAGGCTGCCATTCAGTGATTCACTCTGCAGCAGTGACAAAACCATATGTAACAGCACTGCATGTAAAATTTAAGAGCCAAAAAAGCAAGAATGCATACAGCAAGAGTCCGCTTGTATAGGTAAGTATCAGGCAACTTTGTTTTCTAGAGCTATCAGTAAACGTCAGAGTCCAGTTGACAGAGAGAACAATGATCACAGAATAAAGAAAGAGGACTATGATCAAAATGGCCTCTGATCGCATGTGGTCTTCGGCTGTCTGTACACACATGCAAGCTTCCACACTGACTCTTTCATGTTTGTGTTCTTTTCATGAGATCCTATTTCTATTAGAAAGAGCAAAAAAGCGTTTAAAAAGTCCCCAAGAACTTTTGATGAACTATACAGAGGGAACTGGAAGCATTATCCCAGTGCCGTGAGACAACTCAGCACAAGTAAGGTCTGACTCCCTTCCCAAAGGACATCAAACACTGCCGCACTGCAGCTAGAGAAATGGGGTGGAACACAACCCACACCTAAGTCAGAGGAAGAAACACTTTCAGTGTACACTAATGCTACCAAATGCAGTGACGACCATTCTGCAAAGTTTATAGGTGAATGTTAAACACCACACTTCATTGTTGTATTAAGT